ATCTGCCTGTTCTGCTCCCCACTCTGTCTCTGGTGAATCCTTTCACCGCCCCTGTACCTCTAGCCTGTACCCCAGGTCTGTATGGATAAATAAATAAATCTTTTAAAAAAAAAAGCTATAGATTTCTTTTATGTTGACTTTGTAACTTGACACTTTTATTTATCTATTGTTTCTAAAAACAATTTGATGGGGCATGAGGATAAATAATATCCTCTGTGTGTGTATGTATGCACATGCACACATATATATATATGTGTGTGTGTATATATATATATAATATGCTTAATAATATCATATTATCTATGAATAATGATAATTTCACTTCTTTTCTCACTTGATTCCTTTCACTTCCTCATTTTGCCTGGTGTCTCAGGCCAAAACCTTTAATACTAAGTTAACCAAAAAGTGGTGACATCCTTGTCTTGTATCTGATCTTGATGGGAAAGATTTCAGTTTTTCACCACTAGATACACACGGCTTTTTAACTATTTCCTGAAACTTTATGATGATTATTAGGAACATTCAGGGCATAGCTTTAGATAGTACTACATCTACATCTCTGTCACCTGTAACCTCTCTGTTGCCCAGTGAGGATTCACAATTTGTGTGAGATAGACGTACTTTTCATCTTGAGACTTGTAATCATTGGGGAAAAACATATTAAGGCACTAAAACTTCTGAGGAGTTTCCTGGTGGTGGTGCTGAACACACTTGCTTCCAAATGGGACAAGGTACAAGACCTGGGCTGCCAAGTCGAGTGGTCTGGGTTTCAGGAAGGCAAGTACTGCAGTCACACCAAAAACTAAATTCTACCTCCTCTAAATCTTCCTAGTTGGAAAACTAGTTTACTCACTCAAAGCCTCCTTTTCTTATATTATAAAAAGTAACACAGATACAGCCCACTAATGTTGTACACTGGGGTCTGGCAGTAGTAGCCTGTGGCCTAGTGTCCAGCCATCTGGAGATCACCAGATCACCAGTCTTGTCCTCCTGAGCCCTCAGGTTACCCCAGTGTGGGGGTACTGCGAGACTCTAGCTGTTTCCTCTTTTCTTAAACTTAGGGTACTGTGGGGACTCATGAGGAAGCATAGATTGTTCCTGGCTCTCAGCTGCGTATGAGCTTCAGACAGAAAGCAGAGCATCCACTTGGGCCTCTTTGTGCTCCACTGTGTAGACGAGTGTCTGGGGAGTGTCTGAGCAGTAACAGCCAGCTCTATCCAGAGGGGATTTCCTGGTAGACAAGCTTTAGCGGGAAGATGCAAGGTCACCAACTCCAGGAAACGGGCCCACCTGTTGGGAATGATGACTTTACAAATAACTGTGTTAGGGTGCGGTTGGGGGAAGTGATCTCAGGTCAATGTGAACAATCAGGAATGAGAGGTAGCATTTGTATGTCAAAGAGAAAATTGCTGGCAACCAAGGTCATCCCCAGAGGTCCCAGCTTTTTCCAGATCTCATGCCTCCTTTTTTTGTTACCTGGAATCACCAGTTTCACCTGTTCACCTCCAAGTTAGGGCATGGTCTATGTAACAGTCCCATTGGAATGTCCTTTCACACCGGCTTATTTGTACCAGGACAACAACTTGTACACCATCCTAGTAAAAGTAACTACCAAATCATAAACACTTTCTCTTGCTAGTGACTGTGCTAAGCAAATATGTGTGAGAACTTTCCAAACTTCACAACAAAGTCCTGAAAAAGATTTATTCTCACATTATTAGCTATAGGGGGAACAGGTTCAGAGAAATGAAGAAAGATAACTAAGTTTCCAAAGCTACTGAGGGTGAGAACAGGCTTCAGACTCAGGGCTGATGCTGTGGGTGTTGACAGCTTTCAGTCTGCAGCCTTGGTGCTCAAATGATGATTCTCAAAGCACAGATGACCTGTCAGGAACATGGCATTGTGGGCTCCACCCCAAGCATACTGAACCAAGATCTGTATTTTAAGAAGGTCTCCAGGTGGATGCATACACATGTTGAAGTTTGAGAAGCTACATCAACATTCTTCAACCATGTACCTATACCATGCAGCATTATTCATAACTGCCCAGAAGTGAAAGCCACTTAAGTGTCCATTGATGGCTAAACAAAATGTGGGGTATACATACAATGGGTCATTCTTCTTTGAGAAAGGAAGGAAATGCCGATGTATACTACAGCATAGATAAATTTCTAGGACACTATGCTAAATAAAATAAGTTAGTCACACACACACAAACCAATACTGTATGATTTCACTATTCCACTTAGATGAATATTTCAAGTAGTCAAAATCACAGACACAGAAAGCAGAATGGTGATGGCCAGGCACTGGGGCAGGTGTTTAATAAGTATAGATTGTCAGTTTTGCAAGATGCAAATTGACTGAACTGTTATCAGATCCCTGCGGCCCCCAGAGGCCATAGGACAAGATGGATTTTTTAGGGGTTCACTTCTTAAAACCAATAGGCTCATGATCTTGTCCTGACCTGAGTGCTGAGGGCTTTGCTTCCTGTTACACCTGACTTTGATTCTACAATGAGTGGCCTTGCAATTGTATGTGGGTGAGAACCCACTAACAGTGATCTCTCCCCCACCCTGGTCACTGTTTCTGGTCCCCTGTTTTAGCACTGTTTCACTGTGTCTTTTTGTAGCATTTCAGAGCCACAATCTGAATATAGTCAATGCTACTGAATGAACTATGCGCTTAAAGATGGTTCAGATGGCAAATTTTATATGTATTTTGCCACAACTGAAAAAAAAAAAAGTCCATCACCACCTGCTGCCTTTACAGTGGCAACTTGAAGGAGCTGGGTAACAGCACAATGCAGAGTTAGCTGATGAGGCAGACTCAATCACAACTTCTAAGGGCTGAAAAGGTGAGGTCCTCTGGGGTAGCAGTGGGAGCTTCCAAGAAGATGAAGTTCAAATACCACAAAGAGCCCTGGGGGTCACTACTGATCCCTTGACCAGCTTGTGCCACCAGACAGATGTAAGGAGGGGCTTTGCCAGGGCCACTGTGGTGAGACCAGCCTCATACAGTGGGCCTGCACACTGTAGCCGGGAAGCTCAGAAACTGGAACAGAGAGAGCTACTTCCCCAGGATCACCCTCCCCAAACCACAGCTTTCTCCTCTTGCTGGGGCTTTAAGCAGAGCTCTGAGATGACCCTGGGAATCCAAAGGCAGAGTCAGTGTTTGCCTCCTCTGTTCATATAAAGGAGCTGCTGTTTGTGATTAGGCAGGCTCCACCCTGCACCTAGGAGTTTGGAAAGAGAAGCATACAATATAGTCCCCAGAAATCCTGAGGAAAAAAAACAAAAAGAGCAAAGAAAACCTACGTCAAACAATGAAAGACACAGAAAAAGAGGAAGGAAATACATAAAGTCACAAAATAAAATCTTGAAGGTAATATCGAGCATTTTAAATATGACATGAAATTAGACCTCCCCCCAATCAAAATCAGACTTACTTGGATTGGAGTTGAAAGGGGGAAAAAAAAACACGCTCAAACGTGCTATTTAAAGAGAACCATTTAATCAAAGTGATATATTAAAGGCTAAACAAAAACTAGAAAACAAACAGGCAAACACCTACTATAAAACAGAAAGTAATAACCCAATAATTGCTTACAGAATAGGGGAGGACTTACCATACCCTTTAGTTAAACCAAACTCCCATTAGCTTCCTCAAAGACAAAGTGACTTGAGCAATTTGTGGACAAAGTCTTAGAAAATACCTCTGACTCCTTCAGGATTATCAATTTGTGATTGTGGCACACAGATTGACGTCTTCTGAAATGTATTCTATTCCGATGCTCAAATTAAAATGCATCCTTTCAGATCACATCCTGCTCACCCATTACAATCTGTTTTATAGTCATTGTTAACTTCACAGAGTGATGCTTCAGATTTACAGGGGGCAATTTAGTTAAGGAGAGAGAGCCTGGAGTATCTTTCTTGAAGGTACCTGGATGTGTTCCCTTGAGAAGAAGGCTGATTTTAAAGGATGCTAGTTATAGCCCAGTGAATACACTAACATCTGTTTGAGGTCACCATCCCACCCACCATTTTCCCAAAAGTCTACATTTTTTTTTAAAATGCATTTGCCATCTGTGACGTTCCCAGGAAATCAGAAAAAAGTGACAAGGAAAAATATAGCAGGCATGGATTTACTCACCAAAGGACGAACAATAGACTCTAAATTCAAGATCAGGGTAATTTGGGAAGAATAAATCACAAGAAGCATGAAGCACAGCGTGGTTCTCCTTGGGGATTTCATTTCTTCAAGCTTGAGTTGCTTTGCCTGAAATAGAAATATGATGGTTTAGAGACAGAATGATTTGTTTAGCAAATACGGAAAGGACTGGGTGAATGCTATCTTGGTCCAGCTGCAAGAAAAAAAACCTTTTCAATGAAGGACAGAAAAGAAGGAGCATGAATAAATGGACTAGAGAGATTAGTCCCTTCTCTGTACGTTTGGACAAGAAAATGGCAACGTCAGAAAGGGTAAGGAAGGGAAGGAAGGATGGATGCTGGTACTTGTAAACAGTCCAGATGTGAGCAGTACTTAGGTGTGTTCCTGGCATAAAAGGAAATGAGAGAGAAGGAATGAGAAAAGGGAAAAGTGAGAGACAGGTAAAGCAAAGAAAAAGGGGAAGATTACTCAGGAAAAAATACTTTAAATATGTGAGTCAGCACACATAATGTGGGGATGAGTACTGTATGGGGGTGACACTGCAACTCTGATGTGTTCAATAAATTATACCCCAATTTATCCTTTTTTTACTTTTAATTCTGGTAGCAAACAACTAAACTGACTTCATGACTCTGGCCCATTTATATGAAAAATCTTGGATTGAGTCATAAAAATATAAGTTATATTTCAGTCTTTTATAGTAAATAATATAGACTATGAATATCACAATCTATTTCACTTTATGTACTTACTTTTGCTAGCTCTTTGTTTATAGTGAGGTGAGCACATGATGTTTCCTGATGAGTGGGTTATTTACTGCTGCATGTAGAAAGTAAAGTATCAGATGAACTAATCCCAACTCACAGGGCAAACAACTTTATTCAGTCTCTATTCCATACTGAACTTTCTACATGCATATGTTGATTTGAAAAGAGCACTAGACTAAAAGACAGAAGCTATGGTTTGGAATCCAGGGTTATTATCAACTAACTTCATATCCTTGAATTAATCCCTTATTTTTGAAGAAAGACACAATGGGTAATGGTGGTGAACTGTGGGTGATTTGGGGGTGTGTGCACAAGGGGGGCAATATCTGATGGCAGGAAGATCCAAATATTGCCACAAACAAAAAATAATCATTAATTTAAAGTCTCTTACTTCTCCTAGTACTAGTATTCCCATCTGTGAAATGGGAATAACTATCCCTTCTTACATTCTTACACAGACTTTTCTGAGGCTCAGATGTGATGAAAAGCCCTGAATGGCTTCAGGCATAAAAGCTGCAGTGGGCATCAGCCATGAGTGGAACTCAGAGGGCTACCATCAGGAAGCTCAGACCCTGGTCCTGGCACTGCAAGGAATGCCAGAGGACTGTGGCCAGGATAACTACAGGGGATGGCCAAGACTTACATGCCAGGGAGAATTGTATTTCAATCACCATCTGTCAGCTGCCTCCTCTTCCTCTTCACCAGTGGAAAAGAAGGAAGCAGAAGGCCCTGGAAAACTGACCCAGTTTGCAAATTTGGCAATCAAATACAGTTTTTAAATTCTACAGCTCAATGACTTTGGAAAATTCTTTGCAATTTGGTGACAGAAACAGATAATTAAGACCAGATATTTGTTATAAGGAATTATAGCAACTTATGGCTTAGTTCTACCTTTAAAGCTACTTTTCCCCCTTGTTGAAAAAGAGTGGACTTTTGTCAGTATTGGGCAGGCTCAATCATCCTGGATCCTGAGGAAAGTCAGTATTTAGAAGGTAACTGAAACTTTTCAGATCCTGTCTAGGTGCACTTTATTAGCTAGTTCCTCCTTGACACATTTAATTAAGGAGGTGAAACTTAATAACTGCCTGACTACTGAGACTCCCTTAGTATGTGACTTTCAGGGAGGGACTCAGGCATTAGAGGGACCGAAGCTGCTTCCCTGTCTTTCCACTATTTCCTGGTGTAGGCTTTTTTTTTTTTTTTGGTCAGAGTTAGTAAAATGGTCATAACTGGTTCTTTTTTATAATCCACTAGCCAATACATTCCATTGTATTCCCCCCAAAAGAGGAGACCCAAAGGAGAAGATAGCTCTTGATTCAATTAACATTCTTTTCTCTGTTGACTTGTTTGGTAATATTACAAAATGACAAGTCAATAGATAGGAGATGTAGGATGACCACCATGGGGCAGTGGGTGTCCCCTGGATACAGAGAAATGACAACAGCTACACAGAGAGGGGGAGGACCTTTCTACAGAAGGGAGAATTCCACCACTTAGAGGGGAAGGTAATATCAAAAATAATAGACAACCAGATGGCGTGATGTCAATCAACTGAAGACAAGCTTTCTTGACCTACATCAATCTTTCATTGACCCTCCAAATGAATGCTGTTCTCATAGCATCACATATTCACGGTAATTTGTCTTCAAAAGGGCCCCCTTAATTACAAATCCACTAGAAATTCACATTTATTTTAAATCTTTGGCATGAAGGGCAGTTAATGAGTAAGAGATACAAACAGAGGCAGAAAAAGAAATAAAATTATCTGATGTCATTCTCAGGTTTTTTTTCTCTTTTAAAATTATAGATCCTGTATACTCTCTACTTAAACTCACCCACTGTATCTTAGAAAAAGCTGGCAAAGCGCAGCAGACCTCTCCTGTCTGGCCTGCTGCTCCCCTAAACAGTGTACTTCGTCGATGTGCCTATTCTGCTCCCCACTCTCTTTCTGGTGAATCCTCTCACTGCCCCTGCACCTCTGGCCTGTATCCCAGATCTGCGTGCATAAATAAATTAATCTTTAAGACAATAAAAGCTGGTAAATAAGATTTCCTCCCTAGTACTAATCCTGCAGTCATGAGCAACTTCCGGGTCTTCTCTGACTATTTTCCTGTCTGTGCAGTGAGAAGAGAAGGAGAGAGAAGTCAAGTACCCTGAGATCAGATGCCAAGAATAAGTAATCAGAATTCTCAGTAAGCACTGTTAGAGGATGAAAGTCTGAGTTCCTTGAAGTGGTTTGTACTGACATTCTCTGGAGGAGTGATTACGCATCAGGAACCACCATTTTATAACTGGTCTTAAATACATCAGGCCCATATCCTAGACCCAGTCAACACTTATGACCAACTGCTGTCCAGGAAAGCCTTCATTAGCTCTGACCTGGCCAGAATTTACTGGAGGCTGGGGGCCTGAGGTGGAGGGGAAAGGAGGAGAGGGAGTGGACTTGTATGCCTTCAAAGTTAGAACATATAACATATGTTATATATTCATATAACAGCCACATCTGTGAGTTCTAATGATGCAACACTACTATCAAATTTGAATTCCGAGCCAAACAGGCAATAATGGAATTCTTCCTAGAAATGTTTCATTTCCTCAGTCCTGCACGGCTCTGCCTTCCCATGCTCATGGATGGCCTCAGCCCATCTTCTCTGGGGAGTGACCTTGATGCTGTCCTTCGCTCCTTTGTAGTAACAAGGCAAGAGGTGGAAATATGTCCACCTTTGATCAGCTTGTGTCCAGGTACCTCCTCCATCTTTCAGACCCTATTCTTAGCACTACCCAGTTTCACCACCCTAGAAGGAAGTTCCCTGGAATATTTGTTTATCATCTGCTTCCACGGTCCTTGTCTCTGGCTGCACATCAAACTAATTATCTGTGAGTTCCTTTTTTTTTATATTTGTTTGGTATTTTAAAATAACCTTATACCAATTAAACTAGAATTTCTGGGGTGCAGGAGGTAGGAGTTGAGACTCGCATTGACCCAAGTTGTTTCAGATGCAGAGGGATATTTGCAGTCTCCTGAACCCAAGGAAACTGTTTTAGAAACAGAATCATAAGGAGAGTATATTGAAGAGGAACTCAACTGATGGTGGGTGAATGAATGGTTTAACGTGATATGATCTCCCCACTATTTTTGATGTAACTCTATAACCTTGGCTGTTACTTTTTAAAAAAAGATTTATTTAGTTATGCATACAAGAATCAAAGTATAGGCCAGAGATGCAGGGGGTGTTGAGAGGATTCACAGGAGACAGAGTGGGGAGCAGAACAGATAGATCAACTAAAATATACTGTTGAGGGGAGCAGCAGGTGGATTAAAAGTGGTCTGCCACAACATATGGGTCAGCTCCCTGGCAGGGGATCGAACTCATGCTGCAGTGAATGCGAATAGCTTTATAGTGATGCGCTTTAAGCTGTTACACCACCAGGGAGGACTCACTGGCTGTTACTTAATATTGTGCTATTTATCTCATGTAGTTTGGATTGTACACTTATGAACCAATAAATACATATGCTTTCTATATTCCCAAAATTGTGCTATGTATTCACAAAGAAATGGATTCTAGTCTTTGCCTCCAAGAGACGCTCAATCCCATGAGAAAGGCCTGAAACATACAATTAAAGAGACATATACTGAGAAAAAAATAAAAGCATATAAGACACTATTTACAGCAATCTACTATGTATAAGTCACAGTGTTAACCAAATGCAGCATCTATGTCATTGAAGTTAGCTCTCACCATAATTTTGTGAGGTTGATACTTAAATCCCAACTCATAGATAAGAAAATAAAGACCTAGAGAGACTGCAGAGCTTACGAGGCCATCCAGCTAGTAAATAATGGAGCCAGATTTGCCCCCATGTTGGCCTGGTCTCTGAAGCGAGCTGCAGTGTGCAAGTGGTGGGCAGGACTGGTGGTGAGGATGGGGGAGCTGGGTGAGATTTGGAGTCACTGACCGGAGCCTGAGAATGGGTGATGTTTCAAAGGGTAGTAGAGAAAGAAAAGAGGATTCAGGCAACGGAGAAAAGCACAAGCAAAAGTAGTCATCTCTTCCAAAAGAGGTGAGGGAGACAGTCCATTGAGTCAATTCTGGAAGTTCCCTAAAGCAGCTTGCCCAGCTACTGTGACATTGTGATATGACTCGGGAGGACATTGTTTCCTGTGCAACCACCATTCACCAAAGAAGCCAGCACTATTTTTGTTCCATCTTGGAAAGAACATGAAGTTGATGGCATTAACATTCAGGTGATTCCCTCCTTCCTGCATTGACAAGAGCATTGACTTTGTAACAAAACTGTCTTGTCTTCTGAATCCAGCTCCACCCCTTGGTAACTCTG